AGAACTACATATTGTACTTCCAGAAACGTTATGGACTGTTTTATCTTCTTTTCAAAAGACATAGCTGTCAAATTCTCATTTTATAGAGACTATGCCTTCCTGTGTGACATATCCTTTGAAGATATTTATGTGAAAATTGAAATTGGCTGCTTCAGCTTTTAAACTAGTAATTAGTCAATGAACCCATTCTTATGGAAAATATAATTTGGGTTATATTCAGCGGTATATAACATAAAAAGTTAAAGCCCCTCCCCCTTATTCAATGTATTCTTCTACTTAGGGATAATCAATGTTAACTTTAATCTTTCTTTGTTGTATGCATTTTCAATACAGTGTTATATGTGTGTGAATGAATATATACTAAGAGTCTTGAAGGTTTTTAAACTTAAACTTGATTCTAGTATATATATCTTTTCTGTAACTTTTTTAGTGATAGTCGTTTACTATCACTAAGTGTGAGTCTGGGCTCTCATGTCTTATGTTGAATCTGAGCAAGGTGTTGTATGTTTGATGTTTATATTGATAAAGTTGATTTGCCCTTACTCTTGGGAATAAACTGTTCACTCAGGGCAGACTGTCAAAACTTAACCTTAAGTTGTTTTCCCAGAGCTTAGCTATCAGTCAGTTCTCTGGAATTCTGAACCCCATGGAAGGTTCAGTAAATGATTATAGGACTAAAAGTGCCAGAGGACTGTGATATGCCTACGTAGTACATTTTCAACTCCACTTATAAAGGATTTTACGTTGTTGTTTTCCCTGCCGGAAATTTGTATTTCATTGGAGGGAAAGTCAGTTCTAATTTCTTCCATATTCCTGTGGCCCCAGGCAGCCACTCTCCTCAGGGCCTGGCTTTCCTCGTCAGGGGAATCTCTGCAGAAGACAACATTCTCTGATTCCCGCTCACACGTCCTTATCCTCCGGAGTCAGCAAATCCCTAGGGTGGGTGATGGGTTGATGCCTATCCACTATGCACAGGTGAAGGTGCCTCTGCAGGTCAAAAGGTCAGTTGGCTGCAAGACTGGATGTAGTTGGGGAGGAACCCAGCTCTGGACTCTCTTCATCTTTTTGCTGGGAGCATGGTTCATTTGTTAAGTATCTCAGATCTGCCTCCCTGTGCCTGATATTTAATATATTCCATGATTTAACTTAAAAATCTGGTGTTTGACACTCTCTTCCCCATACCCACTCTTCCAGGCACAAAATGTACCTGTGATGGTCATGATATTTTATCAGTCACCTAGCTGGAACTCCAGGAAGGCTTAGCTTTGAAAGACTGTTTCTCGACCAGTTGTCAATTGTCTTGACTTTCGAAGGTGAACTAGATATGGCGAAGGGCTTGCGATGCAGGACATGTGTCTCTTTTTGGATTCCTTTCATAGAAGAACTGTTCGCCTGTCCCCCGTGACTGTCTGGTCAGCAGTCCAGCATCTGAAGGCAAGTGTTCAGGAAGGACAGGTCCGGAATGAGCTCCAACCTCCAAGCTGAGAAGATGCCATTTCCTCAGCTCTCCTTTCCTCTTCCTTTTTCCTTTTTTCCCTTTACCTTCAGGCCGTGCCATCTGATTCTGCGGAACAGAAAAGGCAGCAACCCAAACATATCTCCATACCTTCTCACTCTCCCCCTTCCAAAAAGATAGGGTAACATGCCACCCTCTCCTAAAAAATTCACACGGACTCTCTCTTTTATGAGATTGAATGGGGAGTAGGTAAAACTGAAACATGTAGGACAAAGCGGAGCAGAGGAGGATGGGAGATAAGAAAAGAAAGGGAGTGAAACCGGATCTGTGCTTAATGTGAATGTGGAAAGCAGGCAGGCTCCCTGGCCCGTTGGTAGGGTTCCTAGACTAAACCCCAATCTTGGGACAGTTTGGGAGTCAGCAGGAGCTGGTATTACTCAAGTTTGGGCTGGGGGAGGGTTCTGGGCAGGGGAGGAGGCCGAGGAGCACTAGATTCCACTCTGCATCTGACGGTTCCCAAGCAAAGGTCTTCCCCCTCCGAGCCTCCTTGGAGCGCTGTTGTGTGTTGGCTTTCTCTTGGGATTTCTAAGCACTGGGGACTCCTGTAAGGGGATTCGAGACAAGGGTCATAGGATGAGTGGAACCTTGGAGTGGCTCTGATTTCCAGAGCTCTCCTGGCTCATGTGGAGGGGTCGTTTCCCAGCTTCCAAGCAAATCCATTTGCGGAGGGGGGTGGGGGGCGGGTTGCTAAAACACACTGCTGCTCTCTCCCCCGGGGACAGGTAACAATGGCTGGTGCAGACCAAGGTACTGGGTGACCCCTGAAAAGAAGCTAAGGCAACTCCAGGCAGGCAAAACAACAGTCTTACCATTTCAGCTGCTAGTTTTCGGGGTGGGAAAGTTAAGTCTGGGGCAGCAGCATCAGTGACAGATCAAAGGGATAGCAGTATGATTGCTTTTTTAAATTTTTCAGAATTCCGTCAGTGGAATGGTTAACCCGTTTCTGAGCCCACAGGTTTGTAAACTGCTCCTGGAGACAAGCCAGCCTGTTTCTCATAGGTGTCCATATGGTTTTGTCCCTCCTGCCTGGCTCCGCATTTAGTGGGGATAAATAGCAAGTCTCTTGCATTTGTGTTCCACTTCATGTTAAATGCGCTCTCTCCTCAAACACTACAGCCAGTCTCTCCTTGGCACCCGGAGCTCAGTTGTATTTTTTCTCCTCCCTGAGATTCCCACTCACTTAGCCATTTTCTCTCCTTTTGCCTCTTCAGCTTTTGCTCCATCCACTGCTTTTCCATTCCAGCTGCCCGCCGTCCAGTGCCCGCCCAGGTTCCGTCTCACCTTCACCTGAGTTTCCTGCCTGGTTACCCCACCATTCCTCCTGGCCAGTACACCTGTCAGGGCAGGTTGGGACACAGGTCGCGGACGGACCAGCAGTCCAATAGGGCCCACAGGCGTGTTTGGTTGGCCATCATGGTGCACAGCCGCACAGTCGTTTACAAAACCTTATGTACCGACATTTATAAGTCAAGAGAGCGCATGTGAAAATCCGGATGGCCAGCCGTCCGACCTCAGACCTTGGCCGGAGCCAAGAGGCTGCTGCCCTTAGACGGGCACACACTGCCCAGGCTGCCCGGCCCCTCTGCTGCCCGCTCCGTGTAGGTTCCCTGCCTGGGCCATGTAGGCATGTGGGTTGTGACCCCCTCTCTCCTATGAACATGGCCCTCCCTTTTTCATACACTTTACCCACCTTTCCTGGTACATCGCTGCCTCCTGAACTAAGTGTAAGCTCCTTACTCCACAGTGTCCGCCAGTGATTCTCAAACTGAAAATGTGTCCGGAACACTTGGGAGATTAAAGACTGATTTGGTAATTCAGGGAGGACACTCAGAAATACTCATTTTTTAACAAGAAAGATCCCAGGTAATGCTGTGCAGATTCTAGGGCACATACTTTTATAAGCACAGTTCCAGTATGTTCCATTGTCCCTTGCTGACCTTTCTTAGTTTCAGTTCCAGAATTCCTAAAGAAGGAAGTGGCTTGGCCCAAATTGAGGCAGATACCTTTTCTCCCCCCACAGATGGCGGCTCCTACAAACCCCACATGGGACCAGGGGACAGAAGCCATTCCCAGCAGAGTTGCTGGCGCACAACCCCCTCTTTCCTCCGGCTTCTCTTGCCCCGTCAGGTGTCTGGCTTGTCCCTGTGCTGGTGGCCCCAGGAAGGCAGGGCTGCTTCTCAACCAGCTGCCTCTCCCCAGAACTAACTAGTCCTGGGCTTTAAGCACAGTAGATATACAAAGCCCTATTTCAGAAGTTATATGTGTACACAGTTAAAAATGCAAACCATGCAAAAGGATATACGGTAAGACTGAGCCCTCCTTCCCCACCTGATTTGGGGCCTCTGTCCCTCTTAGAGGAACCAGTCCCTTTTATGTCTTGATGAAGATAGGGACCCTGGAGAAGAGGCCCATTTGTAACTTTTTATCTCCATAAAGAGTTGTTTCCTATACATGTTTTTTTTTTCATTTTACAGTAATATGTTGATCATTCCACATCTATAAATGTGTGTGGGTTTTTTTCATTTTACAGTAATATGTTGATCATTCCACATCAGTCATCTCAAAATTATTTGAGTTGAATATTTACACATGAAAATCTTGGATTAATTAGGGAAATGTTACTATTCTTATCTTAAAATTAAGACTGTTGGGGAATGGAGTCATTAAAGAGTTTTTGCCCAAGGGGTAGGAATAGAGAGCAAGTCTCTGTCGCCCACCCCATAGTGTTCTGCTCTAAGTTGTACATATATGATTTCAAATTGCTGTTTATGTGTGTGGAGGCCACGAAAAATGTCCTCCCTGTTCACTGCTTATAATTTATGAAAAGAGAAGTTCTGCCCAGAGCTGGATAGAGGGTCCCCTGCAAACCTAACTTGGAAGTTTGGGCCTTGATGCCACCACAATATTACCTTAAAGATTCCCTGATGTGAACACTCCATTGTTGTCAGATACAAAACTGAGTCAGAGACACTTCTGACCAACACGTTTATCGTTTACTTACATTGCTGCAGAGACTTACAACAGAAAGCAGCGGCTTTTAAATCCCCATTTCCAAAGTCCAAGTTTTATACAGTTGCATAATATCACCTGCTATGGACCTCTTACCTCCTGTCAAGCAAGTCACGGTCCAGCTCAAAGGTCTGTTCAAATATTCAGGATTTACCATGAGATAATTCCTTCATTTCACTTATTACTATTTCTTATCAGTGGCAAAATGTTGGAAAATTGTAGAAAGAAGACGAAAGAAATTTGGGATTTTATGCTCTCTTAGAGGTGAATGCTGGGTTTCACAATAGCTTCACAGAAACCCATTTTATTTGCTAAGATCATTCTTATATTCATTTATATCCCACCTCCCTCTCTGAAAAGACAATGATTTCTTGAAGTAAATGTGTACCATAATTGTTATACAAAGCAAACACTCCTCAAAATAAATGAGGTCCAGCTTTGAGAGTAGAAATTAAATGTCCTTGTTCCTTTTCAGGGACACAGAGCCATCAGGAAACATGAGCAACCCATTTGCACACCTCGCTGAGCCTTTGGATCCTGCACAACCAGGAAAGAAATTCTTCAATTTGAATAAATTGGACGATTCAAGATATGGTAGGTACATGGCTCTATGAAGTAAGTGCTGTGGCAGCAATTGATATCTCATTTGCATAGTAATTATGCTATGTAATTAATTACCTTTTAGGAGAGTTGAAAAAGGCATAGCAGAGAACAGATCTTGGATTAAGCTTTATAAACACACATACCTTGCATTGCTCATTTTTAAGTAGTAATAATGATGATATACATGTAGCATTTATATAGCATTTTATAGGGTATAGAGTGTTTGTACATATGTATTATGTCATTTAATCTGAGTAACAACCCTAGAGATCATGTTTATAAAGTGTAATAACTGCTAAGGAATCTGAATTCCCAGAGAGAGTCAATGAGATGGTCAAATAACAACTTTGTGATTACGCAGGATAGGACAAAAACACGTCTTTTTTATTCCAAATCCTGTGCCTTTCTACCTTTATACTCTTGTCTTTTCCAGATAATATTGGGGAATAATTTCATATATCAGGATGGAACATTTCCTTTTTAAAGGAGCAAAGTAGTTTTTCTTATGAATTACCATTGTTTTATCCTAGAAATCCCAGTTACCACACTATATGTTGTTTGGGATTTTATTTCCTTGGAGAGATGTATGTTACTATACTTTGGTCTTAATTACAATAATTGTAAAGGAGTTATTTTCTCATTTCTTAGACACTAGTTTTCATGAGAAATATTACTGTGTGTATGTGTGTTTTACTTGCTAACATATAATACATTAAATGTCTACATTGGTTTCTTTCATGATGATTTGTAAGGCAACCATTTATTCTGAAAGAATTAACTGTAATATTTTGTTTTTGCCTAGTGTGTGGGTATTTTCTAGTACTGAATTTGTCTTAAATCCATTCAATATCTTCAATACCTTCATATTTTAAACTTTTAAAATCAGTTTACATTTACCCTCTTTCCCAGTTGGAAGAATAGTCTAATGCCTATATCAAGACTAGAGGCCCGATGCACGAAATTTGTGCACGGGTAGGGTCCCTAGGCCTGGCCAGCGATCAGGGCCGATAGGAGCCTTCCAGCTGCCAGCCAGGGCCTTCCTTCAGGCTGCCAGCTGGGGCCTTCCTTCATTCTGTGCCACCCCCTGGTGGTGAGCACATGTCATAGCAAGCGAGCGAACTCCTGGTCGAACTCCTGAAGGGACACTTTGCATATTAGCCTTTTATATATATAGATTACATAGAGATGGGCTTTAAAGCTCTCTTATGATAAAGAGTCTCATGATTTTTGTTTGTTTTGTTATTCTTTCTCCTTTATCCTAGGACGCTTACCATTTTCTATTAGAGTTCTCCTGGAGGCAGCCATTCGGAACTGTGATCAATTTCTGGTGAAGAAAGATGACATTGAAAATATCCTAAATTGGAATGTCATGCAGCACAAGAACATAGAAGTGCCATTTAAGCCTGCTCGGGTCATCCTGCAGGACTTCACGTGAGCCTCATGTCACTTTGCTCTCTTCTTCTCTGCCTCCCTTGTCAGACTTTAAAGAAAGCTTTAAACAAAAAGCCAGCCACAGTGACTATATAATTTATTACCCAATAACCAGACACTTTTGAAAACGAAAGGGAACTACTGATCTCAGTCAGCAAGAGCTAGTTTCAGGCAAGCTGGGATGTGTTCCCGCCGCCTCTTCCAGTGACAGAGGTCACTCACTGTCTTGGTCTTGAAGACTGCAGTCCCTAACGTGCCAGCGAAGGGGGAGAGACATAGGAGTGGAGCTCTCTTGGA